TAGAGTTGTTGGGAGCAGGAAATGAATGAGATGATGCCTAATAGGCACTTTATTAATCTCTTCTCTAGCCCTCCCTCTCCTGCCTTTTCAACAAGTATTTCAGGAAGACTTAATGAGAACCAGATGATAAAGCCACAGACACCATCCTTGGTCTCCTGTTCCTCAAAAAAAAAAAAAAGAATTAACTGGAAGCAAGTAATTAACCCCCATTATTTAAAAATATATATGGATATATGGATCATATGTGTCTACTACTAACATATGTAAATGGTGAGGCTGTTTGACCCAGACATGCCACTGATTTTATAGAATATTTGTATGCAACTGTTAATCTGGAATTGCTCCATTTTCTTCAATTTTGATTACCAAATTTGGAATTGAATGGAATTCTGACCATAATCACAAGAAACTCAAATACAGGAAGATGCTACTTTCCCTGATGTTTTGTTATTTAGTTCCACTGACAGCAGATTAGTCAGTAAGCCCTTAGAAGGATGCTTTCCACTGAGCATCAGACTTGGGAATGCCTTGGCTAGTCTTACAAACAAGCTAACCTAATGGGGAGTCATTTTTTTAATTGAGGTATAGTTGATTTACAATGTTGTATTAGTTTCTGGTATACAGCATAGTGATTCAGTTATATATATATTTTCTTTTTCATATTCTTTTTTATTATAGATTATTACAAGCTATTGAGTACAGTTTCCTGTGCTATCCAGTAGGATCTTGTTTATCTGTTTTGTATATAGTAGTTTGTATCTGCTAATCCCAAACTCCCAATTTATCCTTCCTCACCCTTCCCCTTTGATAACCATAAGTTTGTTTTCTATGTCTGTGAATCTGTTTCTGTTTTGTAAATAAGTTCATGTGTGTCTTTTTTTTAGATTCCACATGTAAGTGATACCATATGATAGTCTTTTTCTTTGTCTGACTTATTTCACTTAGTATGATAATCTCTAGGTCCACCCATGTTATGGCAAATGGCATTATTTCATTCTTTTTTATGG